CCTGTAGAGGTCCCGATGGAGACCGCCGCCCACGTGGAGCTTCTCATCACCGAGGTCTTCGAGACTGCCGTCACGCAGCATCCCTTCATCGAGATGTATACCGACCTCTGTGTGCTGCTGCACGATCACTTCAGCAAGACGCCCGTAGCCGACGATTCTTTCAGTTTCAAGAGGCTCTTGCTGAATGAGTGCCAGAACTCTTTCGAGCGAAACAAAGACCCGCCGAAAGGCCTTGACCAGATGGAGGAGGAGGAGCGGGTAATCGCAGAGTTCAAGTACAAGAACCGCAAGCTGGGCAACGTCAAGTTCATAGGTGCGCTGCTTGGCCGCAGGATGCTCTCCAGCAAAGTCTTCTTGACAATCGTCGAAGAGCTCATCGCCGATGAGACCGACGAGTCGCTTGAATCTGTGGCCACGATACTCACCATCGCGGGGCCGCTCTTCGACGTGAAAGACTGGGCCCATTACAGCACGATCAATGCGCAGTTCGCGCAGCTGCAGAAGATCCTGAGCACGTCTGCGATTGCCCCCCGCACGCGCTGCCTGCTGAAGGACGTGCTTGACATGCGCAGGAGGGGCTGGCGAGACCACCGGGTGAAGCAGGTGGAAGCGCCCACGACGCTCAAGCAGGTGCATGACAAAGCGTCCAAGGAGTCTCAGAGGAGGAAACAACGTACCGATTTTAGGACCCGTCCCTCGTGTTGGCCTCCCGGGAGGCCCTCGCCGCTACGGCTGGACTCGCCTCGAAATTCTGGTCACAACGCATCTTGGGAGGTCAGGGCAGTAGCGGTATCGGTATCTTCCGAGTATGGGGGTCGACTGCGTAATCGGTGTCCCCCAGTTCTTGTGTGCCGGAATCTACAGGAAGTAGGTGTAATGAGGTCTGCCACCGCTCTGCGTGGTTTCTTCGCAGCTTCGCCGAACACGTCAAGCCAGGTGGGGGCAAGCCAATCTCTGTACAGTCAAGAGTCCAGACGCTGAACTGGGGATCCTCTCGGGCTCAGCAGAGGCTCGGGGATCTGGGCCGTTCTCCAGCTTCATGGGCTTCCGCCGCACCGCCGACGCCCTGGGGCGGCAGCAAGAGCGAACCACGGAGCTCGCAGAGCGCGCGCGACTGCTGGGGATTTTTGGGCTTCTGGGGACCCGCTCGGCCCGTTTGTGGGGCCCTCGTGGGGCCGTCCTGGGGCTCGCTCGGGCCGCTTGTGGGGCCCTCGTGGGGCCCTCGTGGGGCCGTCCCGAGGCTCGCTCGGCCTGTTGGTGGGGCCCTCGTGGGGCCGTCCTGGGGCTCGCCTGGGCCGTGCTCTGGGCGTCTGTCGTGTGGCGCCCGTCTGTGGCCTCCGGCCCCGCTGTGGCCAGGAAGGCGCCCCGGGGCTCCTCGCGCCGAGAGCGGCCCCCCCCCTCCCGGCAGCGCGAGGACTCTCCTCTTCGGCGACGAGCGAAAGGGGGGGAAGCGAGGAGGAGGAG